CTGCTTTTCCTCTCAGTCTCCTGTTTGCCATAAACACATAAGGTGTGAAATAGGATGACATAAAAAGTGGCATAAGCTCCCATAAAAGTACTACATCTTCTATAATTAAAATCTTTCCAGGGAGGTTACTTTAAGAATTAACATCGTTAATTCTGACAATGTTGCTCCCAATATCCCATCAAAATCTGCCTCCCTAAAAGTTCAGGCACGGCCTAAGCTGTGGTGAGCTTCCTAGCCGCTCAAAGAGTATCGCCATGCAACCTGGGAGTTAGCTCCGAAAAGTGTGGGCCGAGGACCAGAATCAGAATTTCTGGAGTAGGATTTTTAGGACCCATCCCCAGACGTACTGAGTCAAATCTGCATACGAACAAAGTCCCTAGGTAGTATCTACGCATGATAAATTCTCAAACACTATTCATTTCCTAGTAGTCTTTCTACCCCCAGGCGAGGCAACCCTAAATCTTTTATCCATTCCTTAAAAGGTCAATTTAAAACTGTTTCATCTTTCCTACTTATTTCTTTTAGTCAGTCTTCTTAATAATTTTAAGCCATAGACGACAAAATGAACACCATGGAGAACTTCGCCAGTACTAAGCAAGAAAGGTGGCTCACGTATTCAATATTCATATTGAATATTCAATATTCAATAGTTGGCATCTGGCCAACTGAAGTCCTGAAATATAGGTTCATCCATTCCATGACATACACTAAAATATAGCAAAATACAGTTGCTTTTATTACTACTGCTAATTCTCACCACATGTTCCAAGTTATGAAGCCTATTTGATATTAACTGTTTAACTCTAAACTGAAGAAAGTTGACCTCTATTGTAGGGACTTGTAAAAGTTAAATGTGGTATCACAGACCCAATAGTTTATCACAATGCCTGGAAGTTGGCAGTTGCTAACTATGTTAGACCTTGTGCCTTTTATCAACCATAGTTGCACAGGTAGTACCACGTGAGTTTATTTTTAGCCTGGAGATGAAGGAAGGCGATCAATGTTTTTTGCCTGAAATTTCTGGTTTGTCATGATATTCCAGTCCAACTACTGCTCTTCAGACTGTGGGAGTCCCAACGCCTTACAACTCAGTATCACGTTTCTCTTTAAATGGTCTATGCTGTTATTTCACCCGCTATATTGATACAAGATACTGATTATATAGCTCTTGGGGTAGAAAATTTGCCTCCTTTTATTTCCCCATTTCCTTTCTGTGAATGCTCAACATATGTTTGATTAACTTGAATTTGTTACTTAAAGTGGTAACTTTAGCAGTTCCACCTTAACACAAACGGCAAGCTAATTATGTTGTTTTAGATAAGACTTATATAGCTCATGTGAGTGTGTCCCTGGGCTGACACTTAAAGACATACTAAAAAAAAATTTTTTATGATTTTTATGATTTTTTAAATTTTTTTGAGACTCTAATATTTCAACTCAGAGTAAATAAGGCTCTCATGGGATCTCCCACAAAATGCCACCAAGTGACCCAGAGGCACGAAGAATGCCTCCGGAACACCGAGACCTCAGTAGCTGAGGATGTAGGCAGGCAGAAAACAAGATTATAGGCAGATTCTTTTTCTTGTGACAACTACTTTGTTCTTCCCACTGTTTTTAGCAACTAAGTACATAAAAAGCACACTTGATTTTTACGGGATGTTTTATGGGAACACAGACATTTAATTATCTGCATTAAACCAGGCTTCACTCTTCGCTGTTATTCTTTCCAACTTCTCTTTTAATAGTTAAGGATGAATGTGACAAAGTGAGTGCCGATTTATATATTGTGTTTACAAATAAAAAGTCATATAGAAATGTCTATGTGGTGGACAATGATCAGAACAACTTCTGGGCCTCCAGACTGGAGCACACCCTTCCCTCAATATGCTGAGGAATCATTCTCCACTTTAACTACTCCTATGTTTGTTAAAATTATTAATTGCATTTGATATTCAGTCTGCGTCAGTGGTCATTACTCATTAACTTCTCTGCCCAAACCAGTGTGTCAAGGTTCTTACTATGACAGTGAAAGACTCCACTGAATCTATGCAAGAGATCATGATGGTGGACTGGTTGACTTGAATGTAACCCACAGCTATGTCTTTAGTAGAGTGAGCAGTGGGAGGAAAACAAGAAAAATCTGTGAGGAAGGAAAGTTTGGAAAATAAAAGGAAGCAAACAGTAGAAATACTCTTCTTATAATTTTGTGAATTACACCTCAATAAAGCTGGGTGAAAAATAATTTGACTCTGGAACTCCTCAAAGACATTTTTTAGTTGTCTGCCCGCTACCCACACGCTCTGACTTCAAGGATATGAAGTTGCTGATAACATTCCTGAGGAAAGTGTGAAGCCAGAGAAGTCCACAGTTATCTTCTACGATTACAAAATTCTGAATTTCAGCATGGAAAGAACAGAAGCTTTTGGTGAGTGGATTAAATGAAATATGTTTTAATACTCTTACTGAGACCAGGGCTCCTTAGTGACAAAGCCCTGGTAGGTGGAGAGGAGGCAGGTGCTGTCCAGGTTGGCCGCTGGCAACAGAAACAGTATAAATGCACTAGGTGTGGAGGCCCAGCATTAAGAAGGGAGGGTGCCTCCTTTCATACTGACAAAGGGGCTGAATCAAATAGAAGGGACAAAGATAAACTATTTAACCATTATAAGTAGAGTCACCCTGCCTGTCAGCTAGAGTATCAGAGGGAGGAGCAGTTGGGAATGCGGTGATACTCATGAACTCTAAGAGTTCAAGAAAGATAATTTAAAACAAGAACAATCTTATCACTGCATTTACATTCATTCATTGTTCTGTCTGTGTGATTAGGGAAGGATCCACACATGGTCCCAAATATTGGCACTGAAATGGGTAAGGAGAGAATTAACACCCAAGGGTGGGTTGTGTGATAAATACCAAGTTCTTAGCCCAGAAAGCAAAGTGGATCTCTAACTGTAATCCTTAAATTGCTCTTCTTGTGTGTTTTGACTTGAGACTTTGGTAAGCTCCCCAAATGTTTTCAGGGCTTACTCTGTGTGTCAAATGGGGGCAAAAGCTTCTAATTTCACTGAAGGTTTAGTAATGCAGTTTTAAGGTTAAAGCAGTGGCTTGCATACACTAGCAGTATTTGACAATCCTGTTTCACCACATTCTGACCGGTCTTGAGTATTTATACTAAATCTGTGTTGATCTGATAGCTAAAGCATCAGAGGCAGATTTCAGAGGTTCAAGGACCATCTGACAATGATTCCTGGAGAATGAGAAAATGCTGAGAGTCAGACACTAGGTACCAGCAAATGTGACTCCCCAGATACTACTGGAGCTGGGAAGTGGAGGGCAAGGGGCGGGGACACCAACTGTAAAAGGACCACACTAACCAAACCAACCTGGTAATTTAAGCCAGTCTCACTATTTTTGGATGTAAATAGCTTAGACTTGCTGTCACTACTGATCAGAATTCTAAAACTTCATTAAGAGCTCTTGAACTATTCAAGAACCATTGATTTTTTTTTTCTAGAATTTTAAAAGTAAGGGATCTGGCTAAGATGCTCCCGAAGTTCCTGCCCAAGTAATAAGATCTCAGTAGATAGCAAATCACTCTGCCCTGAGTGAAGCAGTTTAGATTGCACGTTTCAGTAGAGATGAATACCTGTCCACAGGCATCTACTTTTTCCTTAGGCACACAGCTAGGCTGCATTTCCCAGGCTCTCCTATATTTAGATGAGCCATGAGATCAAATTCTACACTGGAACATGAGCCGAAGTAGAGTTTGCCATTACTGGGTGGGGGAGGGAGGTTTCTTTTGAAATGCCCTAGCTATGCCTTCTCAGAGTTCTCTTTCTATTGGAGAGGAGTCTGCAATGCCACAGTGAACCTTGAAAGCTCTGTGGTGAAGACAGAGCTTCTGCCAGCCTTGTTTTCCAAATGACTGCATATAACAGCGGTTCCCTGCAACAATTACCTCGACCTGGGCTGATGTATGAGTGAGGACTAAGTGCATCCTATGTTTAAGCCATTATGTGTTTGGGTCTATTTATGATAGTAGTTTAGCACTGAAGGGTGGCAGACTAGGTCACCCACAAATATGCTACATTTGCATAAGGATTGTTTTGGAGTAAAAAGACTTGAAAAACAGCAGGTACAAGAAAAGGAGTGGGACCTCCCCTTTTCTTCCTAAAAGCAGGAGAAGCGGGAGTTAAATATCTATGTAAAAGATGCCCTGCCTACACCAGAGAGAAAGAAACATTCTTGTCACCAGAGAGGGGGAGTCAAGTCTGAGAAATCTGTACAGACCTTGTTAAAAAGAGCTAACTCTTCCTTTTGTCTCCCTATATATTTTAGTCACTTTTCTACAATTGCTTCTCTTTGTTCAATGTTTATAAGCACTTAGGCTTAGCCACTTCTTTGGGTGTCTATTTTCCACTGGAGGGGCCCATGTGCATGTAAAAATCTGTACCCGTTTCTCCAGCAAATCTATCTCATGTCAACTTCATTCTCAGGCCCAGACAGAGAGCCTAAGAGAGCAGAGGTAAAGTATGGCCTCCCGACAGCATATCCCCACTAGTATACCTGACATGTTTTAAAACTCCATGTTCTTACTAAAATCACATGGGAGTAGAGACACCTTAACTTTGTTTTGTACTTTTCACTTTGTCAAAGGTGCTTTTACATATATTACTGATCAGGAATTTCACAACAACCTTTGAAAAACACTAACACTGGAAATACACACACACACACACACACACACACACACACACACATATATATATATATTTAAAAAATCGTACTGCAGTAAGAGAACTTATGGAGTCACAGTTTGAAATAATAGAAATATAGAGTTCAAACTTTTGATTTGCAATAGAAAATTCCATAGAGCCATTAAAAAACCAAAAATTAAATTTTCAACTTCAAACCCAAAATGATAATAAATATACTCTGAAGATTTAGTTTTGGGGTTCAAATCACCAATAAGAAATTCTTATTGACGAAACAAGCGTCCTTACCTGCCAAAGATGACATATTGATAACGACGCCACCTTCACCTCCGTGTCGCTTACTCATGTAATCCAAACCAAGATAGGTCCCACTGATGACAGAAACCTAATCCAGAGGCATGAACGAGAAAAGCAATGAAGCTGTCACACTCTGCCATGCAGTCACACACCAGCGTCCACTGCTATCCCAGGTACCAAAGTAGGTTCCTGAAACTGTTATCAATGAAGGGTTTTGAAATGGCTTTAAAAAAAAAAAAAAAAAGTTAGTCATGGACCTGGATTCTCTTTTGTTTGCCTGAAGGTGTGGAGCTCATCACATCTCTGGCAGAACTTCACTTCGCTGTCCAACCTGAGATTTTTATGGTGAAGATTGTATCCCTATAGCGTTTTGTCAAACTTTAACTCAGTTTGCAGCATCCCTAAGAATTCTACATATTCTTTTTCTAAATAGTGGATATAAATGTTATTTATCTTTATTAGGAGCATATGGTTCTCATGTCTGGGAGCCCACATTCGTGTGCTCTGTTTAATTCTCTTAGACCTTGCAATATAGAAGAGGAGAAACCCTTAATCTCCTACAGTTTTCATTTGCTTTTGTACTTCTTCCCCACGTAATACAGAGGAAGGTCATCTCCCAGCTTTAGTGCAGACAGTGATTAACCTAATTTAGCCGTGGAAATCCCATTCTCCTTGCCAGCGATTGGTTTAGGAGCTGGCATGTGACCAATTTTTAGCCAGTGAGATTTGAGGAGCAGTCAGCTGGAGCGGGTGGGTGGGTCTAGCTTGGGAAGGGGGGGGAGAAAAACACAGACTCACAGACTACTTTTGTTACTCTTAAGAAAACCAGAAAGAAATGATTACATTACTCCTTTTTCATTGGTTTGTATGGCTGCAATGAGTATTGCTAACTAGCATCTTTATGATGAAACAACAAAAAGGATGGCAGACAGAAGAGTAGGTAAGAAACTGGGTCCAGAAATCACTGAGATGGACGGACAAACAGTCCTGACGCTGCAGTCATGTTGTGTGCAGTCAACCTTCACCGAGTTCAAGTGGGAGATTTCCTGTCACTTGGGGTATGTGGTCTTCACTAATGTCTATCACTTAACTGGGTTCATCACGGCTTACATGTCTGCTTTTGATGGTTCACTAGGCTTCAGTACTCATCCCTACATGGAGGCACCTTCTCTGTTTTATTCTAAGATTTAAAAATTCACCACTACCCAAAACAACTTGTAATATGAAACTGTTATTTGAAACCCTACTTTCTGTTAAGAGCTCCTTCCCCTTCCAATTCAGACTTGTAAAAGGTGAAAATTTTCTTTTGATATCTTAATTCCTACTTTTTTTCATTCCTTGTAATACTGCAAAGAAAAAGATACAATAGATAATGAATCTGGAACTGAAGACACATATATGTCTTTACCTTCTCTTAATTTAAAAAAATCCTTTGGGAGTTTTTAGAAAAGTATTCAGAGCTGACTCTCTACCTAATAGGAATTTAGAACAAAATGGTAAGTTGAAGAGTCTATTCACTTAAACTGTGTGTCAGTTTGGTATTAAGTAGGCTTAGAGAGAATGAGTAAAATATCCACATGATTCCTTTTAAAATGGAAACACAAAACATTAATGGTTTATATAAGAAGGGAAAAATGTAGATGGCTGAAATTACTGAAGTTAGATGCTATTAGCTTCTGCCCAAGTCTCCAGCATGTCTGAACAGCATTTCTGCTTATGCGTATTGGCACTATGCTTTATTCTCAGGTATTTACAGCTTGCTGACACCCCACTTTTGTGTTTTCAACATCTACAAGATGCAACCAGATAGAAAACTTGGGAATGTGTAAGCTTTAATTTTTTTTTTTTTTTTTTTTTTAAGTAAGATTGATTCCCAGGTCTTTGGTGGAGGAGGAGGAGAAAGGATAATTTTCTCATCCATTATCAGGATAAGAACTGAGTAACTTTTGCAATGAAAACATTCTTGGAATAAATCTACACGACAAGGTCTAATGCTTTGTCTTTCAGGTTCTTGTCTTTTCTTCAATCCAATTCTCAAGAAATATACTAATACACATGATCTTTTTTTCTGAAATCCCATATCATCCTTTATTTTTCAAGTTCAACATTTTTCCATTTTTGCTATATTATTGTCTTCCCTCTTGTGGAAATTACTTACAATTTTGCAAGCTCTGCCTAACTATGACAATAGTTCAACTGGATCTTTAGATATTATAGAGTAGCACTAACAGAAAGTAGTTACTAATTTAACTTGCAATCAATATCTTGGTAGCCAAGAAAAGAGAGTACATTTGACAACAATGTTTCTACCCATTTCTTTAACTCTTCATTTAGAGGTAGACTAGGACAGAGGAACCGAACTCATACAGAAATGAGATAGTGAGAATGAAGAAAATGTAGGTTTTCATACTTTGGTGAAGAAATGCAATTTATTGACTGAATAATACGTGGTAGCGCTGTGCTGGATGTTTCATTGGTTTATTTAAGCTTAACCTTCCTTAGAAGTTATCTTCACTCTTTCATAAACTAGGAAATTCAAGGCTAGAGAAATAAAAGTTCATGAATTCTAAATTCTGGGCTAAAATCTAGTTTTGGCTATTTCTAAATGCATTCCTTTCCCAAGTTCAAAAATGTGGTCAACTCGTATATTTCTGGGATAAAAAACAGCAATAGCCATGTATTTTGTTTAATTATTATGTGAATATACTAAGGGATTCAATATATGTTAGTTATATGTCCATATGATATTATAAATCCCAGTTGGGTGGGGATAAATTATTTAAGTTTATTAAAGCTCCAGAATGTAAAATAAGTACATTACAGAATATCCTTATCAACATTCAAAGTTAAATCTACCTCTGCCCAATTGCCAGAGTAACCTTTGATAATTATTACAAAGACTTCTTTTATAGTTCTGAGCAGCTATAAATAAGGCTGCTGCAGTCGGCTTCAGACTAAGGAAGAAGTACAGAATAACCTAATGGAAACAAAAGACTGGGAAGAGGTTTCATGTATCTCTTGTATAGAAAGAGTGGTGAGGTCAAACAATAAGGAAGGAGTAAGTAATCAAAGTGGAAGGACCGATAATACTGTTTGGCAATGCTGATGTATTAGGAAATTGCCCAAACATTGTATTAAAATGCAAAATTGAATATCCATGGATGTAAAATATCATAGAATGGTTTTTTATCCAATAAATATTACTACTCTACACAAAACAATTTTCTGCCTTGAAAGAGCTCCTAGCATACTATCATAAATTATACATGTATAAAAATTCTTTCAAAAAATAATAATTTTAATGAAATTTAAAAATTTGTGCATCATATAAGAATGGTATAAATATGCTGTATGAGATTTCAGAAGAGGGAGAAATATGTAGGAAGGTCTTTTAATTAAGTGGTTACTCTCTTACAAGGACAGGAACATAGAAAAATGTGCAAAAGAACACACAGGATTGTATAAGGAGGTAAATTACATTCAGAAGAGTATCTAACTAATTATTATATAAACCACATGCAAATATTTGCATTATACTAACAGAGATAATCAAGTTGGAGAGACGATTGGCCAGACTTTAATCTACTCTTGCAATGGGTGTTTTAAGTGGGAAGGGAAGTAATAGATTTTTTTAGTTATATATGGGTAACAAAGGTTATATCTTGCTGTCCTATGTATAATTAAACAAATGTCATCAGTCCCTGTTGTCAAACTAAGGAGTGGCCTATGTTAGCCTGATGAAGACAGATCATTCAAATCCTCTGTGACAATCTCTTCACTATTTTTATGTTTCTTATATTAACTCTAATCATTGCACACTTTGCTGACATCTGATTTCTCAGAGGAAAGACGCAGCAGGTGTACATTATGAATGCACTGAATATAAGAACTTTATACCCTTTTCTATAAAATACCTGTAGATGTGTATTACTGATGAAACTGTTAGAAATATCAAGAGTAGTGCTAAAGGAAGAAAGCTACTGAAAAGCATGATGTGCACTTTTTCACTTGGATAGTTCAATGCAAAAAAAATAATTCTTGTCACTATGTGGTTAGGGAGAGTAGCATAAGTTTATAAAAACATATTCTTAAAATTTCATGAAGCTCCCAACTGGTTGTATATTAATTTTTTTTGTTTTATTTGGCAACCAAAGGATAAAATGAAATATGGTTCATAATAAGTCAGGATAACAACCCAAAATTAAATATAAATATACAGTTTTCTCAACCAGCAGAAGAAAATTAAAGCTATCCAATGGAATTTAAGAAAGAAATAGAAAAAGAACAAAAACAAAAAAAAAAAACCTTGAAAAATAAAATATGAAGTAAAGTAGAAGAACTAAATATTAATAGGCAGGCTGATTAATATCTGTCATTTGAGAGAGAATTGCATTCTGTTCAAAACCTCACAAATCAAGGAGATAAAAGTCAGCAAACGAGTAATTGACACTTGAACAAAAGAAATACTAAAGAATAATTAAAAGAAAAAATTATAAACTATAATCATTTAGAAGGAGGGAGGCACAAATATAAAATTAAATTAGATATAACTAAGCAAATTCAATGGCATGTTGAACATTGATATATCATGATAAAGTACGATTTAGCCAAGAGATATAAGTATGTTTCACAATGAGAAAATATTTCATTTTGCTTACATTACTAGTTTAAATTAGAAGAAAAATCATAGAATTGTCTTAATTCTGAAAAAGCAGTTGTCAGGCATCTCTAAACACACACACACCCCCCAGAAAGATTTTGAGGGAAACTTGACAAATAGGCCTTACAGTTATTTTGAAATATAATGATATCCAAGAACACTTGAGACAAATATTAAAAAAAAATGCAAGGAGCATGTTTGTACTTTCAAACAGTAGCTTTCCTTTTCACTTAAAGGACTTTAGGCATCTATCAGATTTGGGGAGCAACTTTGTACCTTTATCAAAGTGATACTTACCGACTCAGCTTTTTTGTAAACTAGTGTAATTCTCATTACATCCATCTAGTTACTAACAGAATTGAGTAATTACTGCTGGAAATGTTGATTGAAGTCAAACATTTATCAACCAAGCACTGTCTTTAAGATATTGGGCTGATTACTGAGAGGAATAAAAGGGAACATGACACAGCTCCTTTTTTTGAAGGAGTTTATAATCTCCTAGTTGGGGCTCATGAGGTAGGGGCCACTCCTTGCACTTCACCTCGGCCCACTTTCCAAGTGAGAATGACCTCAGCAAGGGCAGGGTGACCTTTTGCACAGCTCTGCTGGGACCTTTTAAGCTATCTTATAGGTTTGGGTTTTACGAAACCCCAGTATCTTATGTCAAGTGTGTTTATCAAATGAGATAACCAACGAATATGTTTTACAATCAATGAAACAGAAATTTTACTTCTAGTTCTACATTTTTGTAATTTAAGTAAGAGCTAAACAGTCACCAAACATTGTGAAAATCACGCTCACGCACATACAAACACACATGCACGCACACATGCTGACTTTCAGGAAAAAAAATCTTAATAATTACAAGGTCCAAAAGTCACTCTAGCCTTGTTTTCTGTTATATGCCTAGAATTAAATTAAGATTTATTTTTTTTAAATAAATAAATTAAGCCAGCCTTGGCAATTTTTTTTTCTCTGTAAAGGACAGGATGGTAAATGTTTCATGTACTGAGTATCATAGGTCTCTGTTGCGGTTATTCAGTTTAGCTATTGTAGCATGAAAGTAGCCAGAGACAATGCGTAAATGTTACTATAGCTGTCATCCCTTTTTACATTTCTTTTTACTTTTTTCAAGCGTTGTAAAACCTATTTTTAGCTTGTGAGTCATACAAAAACAGGTGGTAGGCTAGAGCAGCCTGTGGGCCATAGTTCACCAACTCCTAAATTATGCAATAAACTATGTTTCTTTTCATATTTTAATGTATCATTTTAAGACAGATTTATTTTCATAATTAAAAATCTCAAATATCTTCCTGTTTGTAAATGGAAATGTTTTTCTAGCTTTCTGTAACTTCCCTTTTCCTATGTCATTGTATTGTTTCCGTGAATATAAAAACCATTTTCCTTGAAATCATCACATTATTAAATAATTTTAGACAATAAACATGGCTAAGACAGCTTACCAAATTAATCTGCAGCATTTTTTCCCAGTTTTTCTCATTATTCACTCCAGCATTATTGACCAAAATGTCCAGTCTTCCAAAGTGGTCTACAACCTTTCTGAAAGTATCTAATATCAAAAAAGAGACATTATAGAGATGTTCTTACTTTCCATATATTCATTTATATCATGTCCTCTCCCACAAAATGAATTTTTTTTCACCCACCCTGGAATGAAAATTAGACTCTTGGGCAGTGACTTAACACCTTGCCCGTCCAGGTGTGGTCTGTGAGCCTGCAGTGCCCATCAGTGTTGCCTGGGACCTTAGAGAGGCAGAACCTGTGACCATCACAGACCTACTGAAGCTAAGATCTTACCTTTAGTAAGGTCCGTAGGTGAATTGCATGTACACTGACGTTTGCTTAGCAGTAACTTAATGGTGTAAATTTTAGAGAACTGAACCTCCCATGTGAAGAGCCTTTGGAAGTCAGCTGGGCAGCCAGCATCTCTCTGTCCCTAAGGAGGTACTGGAGCTCTGTGGCTTAGGCTATGATAAATATCCTTTTTAAATAAGTCATATTATCTTCATCAACTGTAATATTAAACACGTCTTCTTGTGTATTCAAATCCATTCTCATAATTTTAGGGAGTCTTGAGATCCTAGTAAGTAAAATTAACTTTTCATTTGATTTGATTTCTTTGATTTTATTTGATTATTGTAACGTCAATGTGTACTATTTCATTCTTTTCTCTTACACTGTTATTACTACTTTGTGTAAAAACTATGTTCAATCAAGGTAAAGTCTGCATAGTTTCTGAGGCCTGAAGGTCACTCATTCCATTGTCCAACTACACACCCAGTTCTTGCAAACCCTCCTAAGCCAGTTCATACTAGGTTTACTACCGTTGTATTGAGAAACACATTATTTCTCAGAGTTGATTTTTACATAGTTCTGTTGATTTAAACTGTTTCCCCAGGCCCTTTAACATTGGTTCTAGTTCTATTACTTGAAACCATAGATACTAATTTTGGCTGCTCTTCTAAATGACAATTTGTGTTCTAAGGTTTTGGGCCCAACATGTGAGTACTTTGAAAAAGGTATCTCCATGCAAACTTTATTTTGATTCAAATAAAATCATAGAATTATTAATAACCACCAGACATATTGAGGAGGGCATGGTTTAATCAGTTCTCAAATAGACAAACTGTTATGCAAAGTAACTGTCAAAAATTGTGCCAAGATATTTTAGTATGTGCCTTTTACACTGCCCTTTATCATACTGGGATGGAAAACAACAAAATAAAAACTTTACTTTTTCATGAAATTTTTAAATGCTTCTTAAGATCTCAAATTGATTCTAGAAAAAGTCCTCCAGTAGGAAAGAAACTTTAAAAAAAATTTTTTGGCATCCCATCTTAAGAATGTTCTTTTCAGAACTTCACAAGCACCTTATAGGAAATTAGGTTGTTACATATGTATGTCTAATAGCTTCTTTAATTTTCTTGTCTTGTTTTGGTCTCCAATGCATTTCTTATATTCTACCCTCATTAATGTATAATACATCATCCCCTTTGTGACATAACACTGAATTTTGAGTTCAAGCAACTTAAAATCTAACTCTTGGTGACATTTATATGCTGTGGTACTCTATAATTAACCTACCCTTTCCCCTGTGCCCCCTCCCCCTCATCCGTGTTGCCCCTCTTCGTTTATAAAAAGAGTTATGTCTTGTTCACCTCCAAGAACATTTTCATCTCTGTATTTTTATGATTCCAATGAAGTCTCCCTTGGCCACTTGCCTAAATTGTTTCAAAAATTGTAGGCAGTTCTTAATCCTGAAATTGGAAGAGTCAATGCCATGTTTTCCTGAACTGCAAATAAGGGCTGATGTCCAGACAACATGTGGATTTCTCATGACCACACACCTTTTCCTGGTCACTTATTATGTGTCTGAGTTTCCTCCTCCACAATCATTTATCCTTAAGGAATGTGTTTACAGCCAAGGTACTAATTTTAAATACAGAAAAGCAAAACAATTAAGGTTAAATGTCACATGTGAAACTATATAAACTCAGACAGAAATAGCTTACAGATGGTCTATAGTGTTTCTTATTCCATCCCTGTGGATGTTGAGATTTGGCATGTCTCTATTCTTGATCCAAAATATCATGTGCAATCAACAAAATATCCTCTGGCAAAATGTGTTCCACCAGCACAGTGTTTATAGATCTCTTCTACTTATGCTTGTAATCCATGTTATAGATCTTTATTTGCATTTTCAGTTTTAAATTATACATCTTTCTTTAAAACAATTTCCCTTAATACTCCCTTCTAACATGCTACTCTACTTTTGTTCCCTTATGGAATATCCCACCATTTTCAAAGAGAGTCACACTTCAATGTTCCTTTAAGAACAGTGGAGTAACTTTTACTGAAATTTTTGCTCCCTTGATAAAAAATGTGCCCAACAATTTACTCAGACTTTCAATAAAACTTTGTGAGATACAAATATTTTATTTTTCTCTTCTTTCCCAGAAAAAAATTTTTTTCATGCACATCTATTCAGCTTCTATATGACCCAATCTGTTTATATTCCAGTATGGTCCCTGATATTTCACAAGTAGATTGTTCTATATTAAGTGAGGAGACGGAAACAGGAAAGCATTGAGGAAAGTCTGATAGAAACTTTTCTTCTGCCACTCTACTACTGTAGCACAACTATTATTGTTTTTAAAGTACCATCTCATAGGGGAAAAAACAAAGGGAACATGTGGTTAACAGCATCCAGCATGTCTGTGATGATGACCCTTGATCTTGCACTCTAGTACATTTTAAAGAGAAACATTGCCACATTAAATTGTCATTGGACTCTGAGTCTTCCAGCTTTCTGAGGAAAGTTGTTTGCCACAGTCCCTTAGTTTACGTTTAATTTTCCAAGTTCCATCTGCAGTTTTAATCATTTAATAACTACTGGTAGCAGTACTGTCTTGGAACACACTAAGGAATTTTGATTACATTCTGCGCTGCCAAATGATTAAAATAAAAGGATTTCTCAAGCTGACTTGGGTTTCCCCACTTCCCACCCCTCCCCGCTTTGAATGTATGGCTATGGGGATGTCAATAGAAACACAACACTCCGAGCTCTCTTGTACCCGCAATCTGGGCGCCCCAAATCTGGGAGCCCCAGCTGCCTCCTTACTCCAGGCTGGCTCTCAGGCCGGGGGCTGCCTTCAGGGTATTGCTAGTTCAAGGCGTGTTCCGCGTTGATGGACGGATCCCCTCTTACCTCTCAGTTGTTCCTGGTCCGCCACATCGCACTGGATGAATAGAGTCTTCTGTGGTTCAAACTGGTCATCCAGAGCAGCTTTACACTTCATACCTGCTTCACGATTCCAGTCGACCAGCGCTACCTATGGATAGAGGAGAGCAGTCCAGGTCCTGCGCAGTTCGTGAAACAGACACGCAAACAGTAAATAAGCAGCAGGACGCTCCTCTTTTGGATCTGACTTTCTGCAAGTAAAGGTCGGGTTTTCTCCGAGCCGCTTTCGAGGTCTGTCTCTCGCGAGAGCATCAGCCTCGGCAGCTTTTGGAAGGGGCAAGGTGGGCACTTGGAGGGCAACCTCCCTATCTCCCCGGGAGACCCGTGGCTTGGCTGGGGTGGCCGGTGAGTCTCGGGGTGAGCAGAGAAGTTTTTGCGGCGCGGCGCCGCTCTTACCTTGGCACCTTTGTGCAGCAGCGCCTCTGCAAACGCTCTGCCGATGCCCTGCGCCGCGCCGGTCACCAGCGCCACTTTGCCGTTCACGTGCATTGTGCGGCCGCTGCTCTAGCGTCGCTGCCGCCCTGCCTTTTGTATTCCTGGCGCGCGCGCGTGCACCCGGACCCAGCGCTCTCCTGCAAGTGGGCGGGGATGAAACTGTCAAGCCAACCCTGGGGCACCCAGGACTATGTCACCTGAACGCTCCCGAGCGCCAAGCTGCTCAATCTTTGCCTTCCTGACTCTCAGCCACCTCAGGCTTCGTTACTGACGGTGAGCCCACGGGAGAAGCAGAAAGGTCATTTCTAAAAAAGATTTCCCTCCATCAGTAATATTGTTATAACTATGTATGGTGCTAGGTGGGTACTGGAAATATCAGGGAGAACACTTTGTAAAGTATATGATTGTCTAACCATTATGCTGTACACCTGAAACCAATACAAAATAATGTTGAACGTAAACAGTAATTGAAAATTAAAATAAAATAAAAGATAAGATTCCCCTTCAGTTCTCCAAGACGATCTCCATAAAATAAGGGCAGAGGAGAGGGTTGGGAACTTGACTTCCTTCTTCTGCCCCCAGGTCTTCTGCTCCCTTGTCATCCCTCCTCCCCCCCCAAAACAAAAACAAGCCAACAAAGCAAAATTTTAGGGGTGTTGCTCTTTTGCCCAATCTAACTTTTTGTGTGAATTCTAATCCCATGGCCTTTGCAGCAGGGGTGGGGAGAGCAGAGTTAAGTAACGCCCCTATTTTTTACGTTGTTGTGTTTTTGACAGACTTTTACAGAGTCTGGAGAGGATACGTGAATTGTGCCCTGACCACAAACCACTGAATCTGTTTTTTTCATGGCTGGGAATTTAGGAATCTATTGACACTTTTATTACAGATCAGTATCAAGTGTGTCATCTTGAGAGCACTCTGCAAGAACTGTCCTCAATTTACTTACGTAGGACTTCCAAGCTGGTGAATTGTTGGTTCAATGAAATTCTCATGCGCTGAATCATACTTGCTTTGGGGCTTGAAGTTAAGTATGAGACAGAGGTTCCCTGTCCTCCAGGAACTTGAGAAGCAGCTGTGTGCTGAGATGCAAGCAGCCAGGGCTACTTTGCTGACCTAATCACTCTTTCTTTTTTTCTTTTTTCATGTTGTTGGCATTTGTTTTTATAAACAAAGAAATATAAACAGTTCGGGAGATGACCTTTGCATACTTCTTTGTTGCTTACAGGACACAGGAGGAAAGTAGTTGGCTCAGCAGGGGAAGGCATGTTTGGGGAGGCTGTGTAAGAGAGATACAGGTTTTCCATAAGCCACTGAAGCAGGTCCTCGAAGTTGCTTTGAAAATGAGTGTTGAAGAAATATTGAGAATTTAGGACAAGAAGAGAGATACTGATATTCTATCATGATAATTAAAATTGTCACGTGACGAGTACATTGAGGTATCATATTGAAAGAGAACAGCAGAAGGCAAAAAATAAGATGAAACAAGCCAAATCCAACCCCTCCAGCGACATGCACAGGACATAAAAGAAAATGAGCAGTTTCTTTATGAGGAAAGAACTAACTAAAGAGAGTTTTTTCTTGGGAACATGTTGGGAGAACAAAGTGTTGCAGCACATAAGGAAAAATAGTTTCTCCTTGAACTGAAGTTCCTCTTGCAAACTGAAAATAAGAAAAAAAAAGGTAGAAAAAAGAAATACTTTGAATTTTCTGTGACTGTAATTAGTGTTAGTAAATTTAGAAGGCATAGTATATATTAGTTCTAACTAATTATTATTAATATAAAGTATATGTGAGACAGAGAAAAATGTGAGACAGTTTCTGTTATTGTTCTTGTTTATTTTGTTTATTTTCACCACATAGGAAAGACTGGAATCTAAGGCACAGTTAACACCCCTCCTTACTCCCCTTCTTTCTTCTGAGTTTCCTCTGCCATTGCCTTTGTTTACACATTCTCCTGCGAGGATAGCAACAGCAGTTAGCCTTCTGAGTTACTTCTTTGCTCCCAAATTTCTTAAACCCAGTTCAATTTCCACAGTCCTCCAAGTAAATATTCTAAAACATAGATCTGATCATGTATAGATAACTTCATTTTTTAAATCCTTAAAATATTTAAACTCCAGGCATTGCACAGGGAGTATTCTATGCCTTGTGTCTTTGAGTAGCCTCTCTTTCCATTCTAGAAAACCGTGTAGGTTAAACTCTGCCCACTTTCCCAGCCTCAGGCCTTTGTCTTACAGCATCTGCTCACCTGATTATCCTTCCCCTCCCACTTTCTTCACTTGTCTTCCAACTCAGCTGTAAAACTCTAGAGGATAGCCCAATCACTTTGTTGTAATTACCTCATAATCTCTGAGCGCATTCAAGGAGAGCTGTGTCTTTATCTCTAGATGTCTCCAGCATCCAGCCAAAGTATGTGCGTGTACTTGTTGAATGAAATTGAGATGAACGTGAGATGGGTGTTCAATTAAGAGCAGTGGGAAAAAATTAATTAAATTATATTTTATTGATTATGCTATTACATTTGTCCTAATTTTTTCCCCTTTTGCCCCCCTCCACCCAGTGTCCCCCACTCCCTCAGGCAATCCTTCCACCATTGTTCATGTCCATAGGTCAAGTGTATAAATTCTTTGGCCACTCCATTTCCTACACTGTACTTTATATCCTCACGGCTATTCTGTAACTACCTATTTATTGTTGTTTTTTTAAAGCTTGTATTTATTTATTTTTTAGAGAGAGGGGGGCAAGGAGGGAGAAAGACAGGGAAAGAAACATCAACGTGTGGTTGCCTCTCGTGTGCCCCCTACCGGGGACTGGGCCTGCAACCCAGGCATGTTGCCCTGACTGCGAATCGAACAAGCGATCCTTTGGTTCGCAGGCCGGCACTCAATCCACTGAGCCACACCAGCCAGGGGTGTAACTATCTATTTGTATTTGTTAATCCCCTCACCTCTTCACCTATTCCCCCATAGCCTTGCCCCCATCTGGCAACTATCTGGTAACTAACTTCTTTGGTCTTGCTGCTTTTAGGATTCTCATCATCTTTAACCTTTGGTCTTTTAATAATGATGTGTCTTGGGGTGGGCCTCTTTGCATCCATCATGATTAGGACTCTCTGTGCTTCCTGGACTTGCGTGTCTATTCCCTTCACCAAATTAGAGAAGTTTTCTTTCACTATTTTTTCAGCTAGATTTCCAACTTCTTGTTCTTTCTCTTCTTCAGGCACCTCTATGATGAGAATGTTGGACCTCTTGAAGTTGCCCCAGAGGTTGCTTATATTATCCTCATTTTTGTGGATTCTTTTTTCTTCTTGTTGTTCTGATTGGTTGTTTTTGGATTCCTTATGTTCCAAGTCATTGGTTTGATTCTCAACTCCATCCACTCTACTGTTGTTTCCCTGTAAATTGTTCTTTATTTCAATTAGTGTATCCTTTGTTTCTGACTGGCCCTTTTTATACTGCGGAGGTCCTCACTAAGTTCCTTGAGCATCCTCATTATCAGTGTTTTTAACTCTGCATCTGATAGATTGCTTATCTCCATTTTGTTTAGCTCTTTTTTCAAGAGCTTTGATCTGTTCTTTCATTTGGGCCACGTTTCTCTGATTCCTTATTTTGGCAGCCTCCCTGTGTTTGTTTCTATGTATTAGGTAGAGGTGCTTTGACTCCATGACTTGGCAGTGTGGCCTAATGTAGTAGGTGTCCCGTGGGGTCTAATGGCACAGCCTCCCCTATCACCCAAGCAGGGTACTTGAGATGTGCCCTATGTGTGGGCTGAGTACCCCCTCCTCTTGTAGTTGAGCCCTGGTTGCTGTTGACAGATCAGTGGGAGGGACTTACCCAGGCCGGTCAGCTGCAAGGACTGGCTGTGACCCCTGACCACCACCCTCCACCACCTGTGGAGGATCAGCCGTGCAGGGGCAGGGTGGTGGTGCTCCGACGTGGTCCGTAGCTGTCCACCGGGTGTGCTGGCCCTGGGGTATTCAGGGTGGTGCAGGCCAAGGTCAGCCCTGACCTGTGTTTTGTCCGGGGCACCCTGCTTGAACTGTAAAGCAACCTGAGAAGGCTGCTACTTGTGCTGGGCCTTAGAGATTCCCAGACTGAAGACATGTCAATCTAACCTGGCTGCTGCGAGGGCTCACTGAAGCCAGCATGTTTGATAGGATTTAGGAACCAAGGCTAGACATTCATAAGGAAAAGCAGCTTGGGCGGGCCTAAAAATTGGGTGGGGCAGAACCCCGGGGAAAATCCAAGGTGTGTCAGTGTTAACCAGGTTGATGGAGTCTCAGATATGGCACCAGCTTGCCGGCTCTGTCGGGGAAGAGGTAGCAAAAAGACACTGACCTCTGCTCTCCTTGATGCCGACACTTAGGTTTCTCCCTGTGCACCACTGGTGCCTTTCACGCTGCTACCCTGTGCGGGAGCTCAGAGGGAGTATGTCTGACTAGGTGAGTGTGTGTTGGTTCTTTAAAAGGTACTGCTTGTGGCTCCAGCAGTTTCTTCCACAGACTCAATCCCTGCTGGTTTTTGCAGCCAGAATTTGTAGGGGCTTATCTTCCTGGCACTGGAACCCTGGGCTTGGGGTCCTGGTGTGCAACTGGGCTCCATGCTCCTGAGATATCCCTCCCGAATTTTTATCCACATGTGTGGGACCAGCCCGTTGTGCATCTGCACCTCTCCTACCATTCTGGACAGATGTGGTTTCTTTAATTCCAAAGTCATCAAACTTCTATTCAGCTTGATTTTGTGGTAGTCAGACTTCCATTCAGCTCAATTTCTGACATTTCCGAGTGATGGTTGTTCTATATTTTAGTTGTAATTTTGATGTGGTTGATGTGGAAGCAAGCCATGTCTGCCTATGCCCCCATCTTAGATAAGTGGGAACATTTGAACTAGATGGTGAGATTTCCTGTACACCATGGTTACCTTTTAACATGCTTAAAAGTAAGATTGGAAAAAATACACTGGATACACGTGCCACACAATCTTCTTTATCCAGACATCTATCAAAAGACACTTAGGTTGTTTCTGTGTCTTGGCCGCCATGAGTAATGCATAGAT